GTACATGGTGGGATGGACACAGGGAAGAGGTTAACTGTTGGGAGGAAGTGGGAGGGGAGCTGTTGCATTGCGGTAAATTGAGGTCAATGTCATGAGACAAAGAGTATGTGAACTGCTGTATGGAAAGTGAATTTGCTATGTAAATTTTCACCAAAATCTCAATTAAAAAAAAAAAAAGGAAGGTGAGAATGGTTGCACAACTCAAAGAATGTAATCATTTCACTAAATGTTACATCAAAACTGTTGAATTGATACATGTCTTGCTGTGTATATTTTCAACAACAAAATAAAATTTAAATTTAAAATAGAAAAACAACTCTAGCTGTTTTCTCCACTCCCCATAACTCAGTTCTTTGACCTCCTGGCTGGACACTTACCTAACACTTCTAGATCCTTAATAAACATTTGTAGATTGGATGTTCAGTTAATTAAAATTATGACTGTAAATAAAATAAAGTGTTAAGGAGCCAAGATGTCACTTTGAAGACTAAGGGACACCTAAACCCAAGCCATGGTATTTTCAGTCACCTCATATGCATGTGACAGCTGGATAATGAATAAGGAAGACCAAAAAAGAGTTGATGCTTTTAACTGTCATGTTAGAGCAAAGAATACTGAAAATACCATTGGCTGCCAGAAGGAGGAACTAATCTGCCCTGGAAGAAGTACAGCTGGAATGCTCCTTAGAAGCAAGAGTGGCCAGACTTCATCTCATCTACTTCGCTCATGTTGTTAGAAGGGACCAGTCCCTGAAGAAGGATATCATGCTTGCTAAAGCAAAGGTTCAGCAAAATAGGGGAAGACCTTCAATGAGGTGGATTGACACAGTGGCTGTGATGATGAATTCAAGCACAAGGAGTGTGAGAGTGGTGCAGAACCAGGCAGTGTTTCGTTCCATTGTACCTAGAGGGTCACTGTGAAGTATAGCCAACTCAATGGTACCTAAACAACAACAGTTTTATTGTACAGTATATACATGCACTGTTTCTATCATCACAGAAAGCTCTATTTGACAACACATATCTAAATGGATAACTGACTGAAGGGGTTAAGAGTAGAACCAGAGAGATCAGATAGGAGGTTTATGAAATAACCCAGAGAAGAAATGGCAGTACTGTAGGATAGAAAATGTGAAGGTGACAAGAGGAGGTTAGACTCTAGGTCAATTCTGAAAGCAGAGCTGACAGGATGTTTTGATGGATTACATGGAGGATGTAAACCAAAGGCAAGCACCAACTTGACCCTGAGGCCTTTAGCCTGAACAAATTTTTGCTGGTGGTTGGCTTTCACTGACACAAATACTATAGGAGAAATTGGTTGGGAAGGAGTCTGGGAGCTCAATTTTGGACCTGTTCAGTTTGAGATGCCTAATGACATCTAAATAAAGGAAATGAGAAGCTGTTGACTCTGAGAGTCTATGCACATGTAGGTCATGGGATAGGTCTAGGATAGATGCACTAGGTGGGGAACTTAGGCACGTTGTTTTTAGGTGTCATTGAGTGGGTTCCGACCCATAGCGACCCAGTGTACAACAGAATGAAACACTGCCTCGTGCTGTGATGATGCTTGAATCCATCATTGCAGCCACTGTGTCAATCCATCTCATTGAAGTTCTCCCCTTTTTTTTGCTGAAGCTTTACTTTACCAAACATGACCAGTCACTTCTGATAACATAGCCAAAGTATGTGAGAAAAAGTCTGGCCATTCTCACTTCTGAGGAGCCTTCAACTGAACTACTTCATATCTGTTCCTTCCTCTGGCAGTCCATGGTATCTTCAGCATTCTTTGCTAACACCACAATTCAAATGCATCATTTCAGCCTCAGTCTTCTTCATTCATTGTCCAGCTGTCAGACATATGAGTTGATTAAAATACCATGTCTTGAGTCAGGCATTCCTCAGTCTTCAAAGTGATATCTTTGCTCTTTAACATTCTAAACAGGTCTTTTGTAGCAGATTTGCCCACTACAATACATCATCTGATTTCTTGACTGCTGTTTCCATGGGTTTTATTATGGATTCAAGTAAAATGAAATCCCTGACAACTTCAATCTTTTCTCCATTTATCAGAGTGTTACTTATGGGCCCAGCTGAAGGTTTTTGTTGTCTTTATATTAAGGTGTAATCCATGCTAAGAGATGTAGTCTTTGATCTTCATCAGTGCTTCAAGTCTTCTTCACTTTAAGCAAGGAAGGTCGTATCATCTGCATATCACAGGTTGTTAATGAGTCCTCTTCCAATCCTGATGCCACATTCTTCTTTATATAGTCCAGCTTCTCAGATAATTTGTTCAGCATACAGATTGAATAAGTATGGGGAAAAGATTCAACTCTCACACACACCTTTCCTGATTTAAAACCACGCAGTATCTTCTTGTTCTGTTTGAATGACTATCTCTTGGTCTATGAACAGGTTCCTCATGAGCACAATTAAGTGTTCTGGAATTCCTCTTCTTTGAAATGTTATCCATAAATGATTATGATCCACACAGTCAAGTGCCTTTGCGTGTCAATAAAAACAGGTAAACATCTTTCTTATATCCCTTGCTTTCAGCCAAGATCCCTCTGATGTCAGTAATGATATCCCTTGTTCAATACCCTCTTCTGAATCCAGCTTGAATTTCTGGCAGTTCAATATACTGCTGCAACCTTTTTCAATTATCTTCAGCAAAATTTTACTTGCATGTGATTGATATTAATGATATGGGTCAATAATTTTCACATTCTGTTGGATCACCTTTCTTTGGAAGAGGTACAAATATGGGTCTTGTCCAGTCAGTTGACCAGGTAGCTGCCTTCCAAATTTCTCTCATAAATGACCGAGTGCCTGCAGTGTAGTAAATTACTTAGTATGGCTTTTCTACCCATAAGTCATTGTAAACTCAGTGGTGGAATGAGCAACTGAGGAGCTGATTGTAAATGTTATCCAAGTGGAGTATTTCTGTTGGGTGTGGCACAATATAATGTTCTGGGAGGTGCCCACTCTCTCTCAGGTGCTTAGAGTTCTGATGCTATGATTGGCTAGTTTGACCACCCTGCGCAGCTCAAAAGGAAGCCTCCTAGAGGCAGAACTCTCTCTCTGACTGCTGATTGAGGAAGACGTGCTGCCGAAAGAGACACTCGCCCCTGGAAGAGACAGACGTTGCTGGGAAAGAGACGCAAGAGACACGCATTGCTGAGTGAGACACCGAGGGACCAGTGCTGCTGGGAAAGAGA